TTAAGTTGAGTGCAATCTTCATTCAGGGGGAAAGAAAAACCATGAGAAGTTCAAGTCAGTTTTCTATTTATTTTAATTGAACTTATGTAATAAAATGCCAAATATATTTAATATCTTTACATCCTTCTCTAGAAGTTATTTCCCATTCTAGGATCTGTTCCTATAATGAACTCCTCAATAAAGCATATGATGCTTTTAAGGAAGAAGTGCCATAATTAAATAATTAAAGCTGTAAACTAGGGCCATGGGTAGGCCGTGGAAAAGATCAAACTTTTCCGTAGGTATATTAGTGCTACATGTGAAGTTTTGAGATCAGAAATATATCAACCTTTTGTGTTCGTCAATTGGGGGACATATTTTTATGTGGTAAAAATGTGAATAGGATCAGGGAAATTGATAATCACAAGTCATATGATAGGCAGAATAGGATCAGGGAAATTGATAATCACAAGTCATATGATAGTCATTTTTCAGTAGAGGCAGAGAAATGGAGTCAGCACTGTACTGTTCTGTACAGAGTTGAGTCTGGCGGTTTTCCCCCCTTTTCTTCTTTTTGGCATAATAGCAGGATGTTGCAAAGAATCTGATACGGATTTTGTGGCATGCCACATGCCTATTCTAGTGTTTTAAGTCTGAAGAAAAGATAAAGGGTATCATGGAGAATGTATAAAGAGCTAACCTATTGAAGACAACTTGACTGTCATGAGATTACAGGGACCTGCAACGAACTTTAAGTGTATATGCATACATGCAATTAATATGGTAGATGTATGTGTATGCAAAGCGGTGTAGTGGCAATTGTATGCATATGTGTACATACAGCTAATTTGGCAGATCAGGTTTTAAGTGCGCGGGGACAGTTTGAATTAAACGTGGTCAGACCTTTTCAGTATGTGGCAGAACGGAGTAATTTCTCTTCTCAATCATTTTAGTATTTAATTGAAAGCAGTCCAAATGGAACAATTTGCTATCCAGAGAAACTCTGGACACTACAGATTTGATTTTAGTTGGTTCTGTTTCGGTTAACTCGAACTTGTCTCGACATTATTCCCTATAAGAGTGTCTCTATCTCCATCATACACATAATATTCCTAGATGTTTTACTTTTGTTTGCATTATCCATGTTTTATAAGCGACACTATCAAGAATTATCCATCTAACAATAACACTAAGATGAAGCTCACATTATCTCACTTGTTCATTTTTTGCCTACATATCTACCTGCTCATTTTCATTTTATTTCTCCTTTCGCCTGAAGCACTTATTGTCATATTTCGACAGGTTGCATACTCGGAAAAGATCGCCGATGTATGGTCGACAGTAGTAGAAGAGACAAAACAATATGCGAGAGATACCGTTTAACCAGTCGTTTATACTTGTGAAGAAGGCAGTACTCCGAAACTCTACTTACATTTAAGTTGTAGTTTTTTCATCAAGCAAAATATGTATACTAACAGTTAGGAACTAATCAGTGTACATTAAAACATTTTGGTGCAACTTCTGCCGTCCCTCTCTTCTCTTTTTCCAGTGGCTGTCGGTCTCAGTTTCTTTGTTTTTCTGGGTTAATTGTGGATATAGTCTATGTACTATGGTGGACTTTCCCCTCGTGAAATTCACAGATGCTCTTTTTTTTTGGCCTATAGCTTTTCCTTTCCAGTTCTGTAAGTTGTGCAATTCTTGTGATACCTCAACCAAGAAACATTTTGAAGTTCAAGGGGTAAAGTGCTAATACTTAAGTACAACTATTTGCAGATTTAGTTTTATGCAGATGATATACCTTTTTTCTTCAAATTCGGGTATATTTCACAAGATCCCTCAGATGTTGGGGGTTTTGTGGGAAAGGTGAGAAGGGGGTTTCACCGGAAAGTTATCCCTCGTTTGGTACGTGGGAATGGACAGAAGTGAGAATGGAATGAAATGAAAGAGGAATGGAATGGATTGTATGTGGGAATGGAATGATCATTTACATTCTCATGTTTGTGTACTTTTGCAGAATGAAGCTAGAATGAAAATTTCATTTCTATTCCCATGTTTGGTATCACTAGTTTACAAGTGAAAATGGAACCTCATTTTCTAATATGTAGTCAAAGAGCTATTATTTTTTGGTTTATTTTTATTATTAATAGGGGTATATAATTAAAAAATACCTAACTGTTTTGATTCTCCCTTGAATGAGAATAATCATTCCCTATCTTCTCACTGGGAGGGAATGATCATTCCAACATCTAAAAAATAGTTTTGTTTGGTATGAAAGAATGAGACATGAGAATGCTATATTCCATTCACCCCATTTTCACATACTAAACGAGGCCTTAGGGGGGCCCAGGGGGTTTCACAGGAAAGCAAAGTTTTGGGGTTTTGCGAAATTTACCCTTCAAATTTAGACTGTTTTCAGCGATTAAAAACTACATCCGCAAGTATCGGCAGGGCGAAGAAACTGCTCGCTGAATTGACAGCATCTTTGAATTGTAAAAGCAAGTTAAAACTCGGGGACGTAAAATACGTTTCTTCTGAATGCAAGCAGCACTCGTAACATCAATCACACAAAAATAAGTAACGTATCAAAAACTTTCAACAAACAAGCGAATTCGGCATTCGCGAAACTAATCACCAATAACCACCACTGAACTCGACTCTCCCACTTCTCCGCCACCGGTCGACGTCCCGGCAACACCACCACCGGCCTCCGGCCTCATCTCCTCCAACTGCTGCAGAACCCGCTCAATCTCCGGCCGCGCCGCCTGCGACGGGTCAACGCACTGCAACGCCAACTTCAACACCTCGACCATCTCATCCCCTGCATCCGCATCCCTCATCAACTCCGTATCAAACACCTCACTCGTCCATTCCTCCTTCACCACTGACGCCACCCACTGCGGCAGCTCCATCCCATTATTCATCGCCCCACTCGGCGATTTCCCCGTCAAAATCTCCAACAATATCACCCCAAAGCTATAAACATCGGTTTTAGAGTTGGCTTTCTTGATGTTGTGGAGTTCTGGCGCTCGATAGCCGAGGGCAGAGGCGGCGGTGAGAGCGTTGGAGTTGGCGGCGGGGGTCATGAGGCGGTAGAGGGCGAAATCGGCAATTTTGGGGGTGAGGTTGGAGTCGAGGAGGACG